TCTAAACATATGTTCAGTAGGCATATATGCATGCACGTATGTCACTAATGGATGGTTTCCTTCTATTTCACAAGTGCGGCGTTTGGCGGTGAAATGTCCGTGAAGTAAATACCGTATTTTCTCAAAAATGTAATTTCAAACGCTTGTATTACGTTTTCATCACAGACTATTCCTAAAGGTCGATTCTCATATAGCAGTGACGTGACAGTGCCGTGACCGGCACGTGATTTCACTGGCCGTAAAGTCACAGTGATTACTATTCATATTGGTCAGTGTTTCAGCAGTGCCAAGGCAGTGTAGTTTATAGCAAATTGGAAATATTTTCAGATGAAGAACTTTTGCAGATCGCACTGGTTTTGGATGAAGAAATGGAAGAACGAGTGGGACAGGTAGAAAAACGACATTGGGTCCATCCAGCATGGAAAAAGAGAGGAACAGAAGGGGAAATTATAACATACAAGGAACCGGTGGACGATGCAACAAAATTTTATGAATACTTCAGAATGTCAGAATATTCATTTAACTTATTATTGTGCAAGTTAGAAGTTCATTTGAAAAAGCATGACACACGCTGGAGAAAAGCTATCACAGCAAGGGAAAGGCTTGCTGTTTGTTTGAGGTAAGTGTTTGTTTTCAAGCTGATGTAGACCATGTAGACATTAATTGAAAGTACTCAAAAAATGAAAACTGTTTCATTAGAAAAATGTTGTCAAACAAATGAAAAAAAAAATAAATCGTGAATCTTAAACTCAGGTGCTTCGTGAATATTGTTAATGAAATGTTCTGTAAAACTCCGTCATTGAGTTGGGTACTGCAGTCTCCACAGTTTGATCAGCAGATGAGGTTGATTGATTCCATGAAGGCTGGTAGCTTCCTGCAGGAGACTGCATGACATTAGAACCCGTTGAGGCGGCAAACTGTTGTCGGTTCAACATATTCAATTCGAATCTTTGGAAAGTAGCAAAAATTTCACCTTTGGCGTGATGCCAGTCTTGTGGGGATAATTGTTTCAAAACTGGAGCTATTCCTGTTGAAAAATCGTCAACAGGATGACGCGTTGGTGCTGGGCAGTTTGTAGTTTTATTTCGTTCAACAATATACTCCATAACTGTAGCGGCTGCCGTTTTGGGGGCAGCAGTAGGCTTTGACAGCTTTCGAGTTTCTCGTGGAATGGTATCTGTTGTTGTTAATGTCAACAAATTTTGACTTTCTGATTGTTTAGTCATGGCATCGTTAACTGCTGATGCTGTAGAGTCCTCCGCTTCCTTATGTTGGTCGTCAATTTCGGATACCTCTTCACGTTCTGTTTCACCTGTGACATCTTCGATATTCACTTCGGACTCAATGTTTGTCGTGGTCTCCCTCTCCTCAAAGAATTTCGTCAAGAAGCTCAACTGCTCTGAATATTTATACGGCTTCACCTTTGTTGCTTTTTGACCACTCTTAGTTTTTTGTTTATTTAACGATTTTCTGAAGTTGTCCCTAATATTGGCCCACCGAGTTCTACATACAGAACCTAAAAGAAAAATAACGCATGAGGCTTACTTTCATCATAAACAAAATATAAAACAAAAAATGTCTCATCTCTACTGTATTTTTTTTTCAGATATTTGGCCACTGGAGATGCACTGAACACAATTTCGTTCAGCTATCGTCTAGGACACAGTACAGTTCACAAAATTGTACGAGACACCTGCCAGGTTATCACTACACATCTAATGAAAGAAATGATGCCTACTACGACAGAGGAAATGTGGATGAAAATCGCTACTGATTTTTATAAAATGTGGAATTTTCCTAATTGTATAGGAGCTATCGATGGCAAGCACATTGTTATTCAAGCTCCTTCTAACTCCGGATCAATGTTTTTTAATTACAAAAAACATTTTACCCAAGATCAATCCCGCACAGGGCCACTTCTACTCAAGGTCACTACCGTCCAAGGCCAATCCTACTCAAGGTCACTTCCGTCCAAGGCCACCTCTGCATCAAGGTCACTTGTGCATCAAGGTCACTCTGACACGAAGCCACTCTCGTCCATTGTCACTCCTGCTCCAAGGTCACTTCCGTCCAAGGTTACTCCTCCCAAGGTCGGAGGACAGTGACCTCGGGCGGAGAGTTAGAAACGGCTTATCTTATCTACTTGTATAAAATACGAATATATTTCTGATCATTCAAATTTGACCAACTGGAGATCTCGCTTCGACCCACTTAGTACGAGTAATTCCCCCTTGTACGACGCCAGACATGCGCATAATGACTCAGCTCTGGCTCGGTGCATAGGGGAATAGGAAATAGGCATTCATTTCATTCATTATCATTCCACGTATCAACGAAGGGGTTGTTATTGTCATTTGGTTATTTACTGAGTAAAATAATTATCATATGAATAGTATAATCACTATAACAACGATCACAAAACAGATAACAGTATAATACCTAGGTGTCATTGTGTATAGCGGTAATATCCATATGAGAAGTTAAGTGGCAACAATTTCAAATTACTTAGTAATTATAATAATTACAGTAATAGGTAGGTAGGTAGGTAGGCGGTAGGTACTTCATCGGGTTTTTTGAATCGAATTTCATTTCAAGTTTTGTCACACGCGTATTTGATTCGAAAATATCAAATACCACTATTGACATTTGCGTTTTTATTCTCATTATTTGTTTCTCTTTTCCATCAGAATCGATCTGAAACAATGAAGCAAGGTGCAAGTTAATCGGATGAAACCTCGGATGCAACTTTACTTCTGTTTCCAGTAGATACCTATCACAGTTCAAAGAATTAGTAGTAATACCTACATCATTTATCTTATATACACTTGATCTTCATGCTGGTATCTGGGACTGAACAGACTGTCTTCGATTTCATACTGACTTTTGACATAGGTAAGATGTCTTGGTTGGAACAAATACAGGGTGCTTCAAGATTCAGATTCCTGATCACGTAAGTCAAAAGTTAAGATAGGGACATGTAAGCCGTTTTGACCGATAATAAATAGTTTCAACACAAAAAATCCTGATGTTGAAAAATCTCGATTCTGAACACGCTATATTTCTGTAATCATTCCCGCTAGATCATGAGTACGATGCATTGATGAAATCAGCTCTTCAAAAGGAATTATAAAATGCAATGAGATACAGGGTGTTTCATTTGAAATAACAAAGTTGCTACCTGTTTCCAATAAAAGTGGCAACACCGCATTGTCGAAAATTTCTTTGACGGATAGAGAATGCTTGATTATTCACGCCCACAAATTTTTGAAAGGATCTGTCGTTCGGTTCTCCAGATACTTCTAATGTTCCATCCACCTTGAAACACCCTGTATACCCGATTTAAGGGCGATTCGATATTCAACATCATTCCACAACCTAGGACATGGGCGCCCGTAAACTTATTTTTTCGAGTAGTCAAAATCGAGTGGGTAGGTACCTGTTTTAATGTATACCTGTGGACGTGGATATCATGGAGTTTATATGGAAATATTTAGGCAAATACTGTAAACAGTCAATAATGAGTTTATACGAGGTTTTTTAATCAATACAACATTTCATAATTCGGTGGATTTATCTTTATCTCTCATGATCTGGTCCACAAAAAATATCTCTTCGGATATAAAAAACCGAGTGAGAAACCGAGTAAAAAACTCAGTGATTTGAATTTGTAATAATGCGATTCGATGGAGGAACGAACATTCCTCCAGCGGAATGTTTAATTCTCAATATGTGGTAGTATGGAGGAATGTATACATGTATACTTTTTTCATTTCAAATTCATAGGTACACAGTGGCACCTATACAGAGTGATACAAACTCGTGGCTAAGCATGGGGATCTCGGTATCCTTGAGAGATACAGACTAGGTCAAATTATGCCAAAGTTGCGCCAATTCATGCTCAATAAAATGCTGCTTTGTAATTCGATTATTCCCGGAGATATACGGAAAAAAGGAAAATATGCAAAATTGTTTTTATTTATTGCTCAGTTCATTAGAAGAGATATGTCAAATTGAATGTCTTTTCATCAATGCCACTTTTCCTCCTCTACAAAATGGAATTGTCAAATTGGAAATCCGACGTTTCTTTTTTTCCAAAATTCAAATTATCAACGTCTTTGATGAATGGAGTTAGTGCAAAGCCTGATACATAATATACTCGTTACATCTCGTTCATAAATCAATGATCGCTCACAACACTGAATCCGATGGCACCATCTTTACGAATTCGGTAGAACTAGCACAATCAGATCTGCCCTCATGCTGAGCGCAATGCAGTTTCCTGTGTAAATTTTATTTCGGATTGTCGCTACGGGATACGGTTCCTATGAAATGCTGTCGTTATGAATTACGGTTCTGATGAAATACTGTCGCTATGGAATACGGTTCCTATAAATTGCTGCCGCTATGGAATTCAGTTTCTATAAAATACCCTCGCTATGAATTGCTGTCGCTAAGGAGTACGGTTCCTATAAATTACTGCCGCTAAGGAATACGGTTCCTATGAATTCAAAATGTTCTTTACTGTTTGAGTTTGGAGAAAAATGATGAAATTGCACTCACCTTGCGTCTTGGAGTGGATGCTACTGCAGCTAGAGATGTTGGGCGGGTTTCACCGATGAGATTCGACATATTACCCTGTACGATAGGGTGAGATATGACGACCTGCGATTGAACGCCTACTTCGCTCAATGTGGAAAAAACACAATGTCTGTATTTTTGAACGTTTTAGTCAAACTAACAACGTTCGACACTGCTTGCAGTAATTGGAAGTTGAATCCTGAATTGATTGGATAATCAGGAAAGTCAACAGCCGTTATTTCATTGGTAAAGGCAAGGTTTTTTGCCTCTGCGTGGCGTATGGCAAGCGGTCGGTAGCCGAGTAGATTTTGGTTTACCGGGCGATCCGCCTGGGAGGGCGCGGAAACGTAATTTCCGGCTGCGGCGTCTGATATTGAGACGCGAATTGCCTCAGCAGAAACTCCCATGCAGGGAATTTCCTTCTAGAGATTGTGGATCATGTTGTCCACATTCTCTCCTGGAAGAGAAATTGGTCCGTAGTAGCCACCATTGGTGATAGCTTCAACGGGTAGGGGGGGGGGGAACTCCGGGTACAGGTGCTGCTTGGTCATGGTGATGATGTTACCTAGCTGTTTGTACTGGAGGACCAGAGGTTCTGGGACGCAGAACGATGTGGTTTGTGTAGCCACGAGAAGATCCTGTTCTTCTTCTGTCAATGGCTGCGAGTTCTTCTGTTTGAGGTTGATGATTCTCAACCAGAGAAGAGCTGTGGCATAGTAATCGAAGTATTCTGGCAACATTGCCTTTGATAGCTGCGGATCGTCAGTCAGCATTTCGCTGAATGTTTGGCGTGCTATTTCGATTAGAGCCAGGGCTGAGAGGGTGAACGTACGCCGGGATTGGGTTTCGCGTACTGTAACCTCAGCTGAGAACACCGATCCGTCTACGGGGTTACCGACAGACATGATAGGCTGGGTGTTCTAGGAGGCCTGTGACGGCTTATTGAGCGCAACAGGTTTTTGAAGTCTGTTGGGCTGGGAAGGCGCTTGCTCTCTAGGAGGATTGTTATCCTTCCATGAGTTAGGTGCCTTGGGGTTCCTTTGCTTAGAGGAGTGACCTCTGTAAGCGCGGGGTTGTGGTTGCTGTGGATTAGCATTTGGAATAAAGGGTTGCTCTATTGTTTTATTTTGGTTGTTTTGGGTTGCGAACTTCGGTCCTGCAAAAAGATATTGGACAACTCTATGGTCGCGGTTTGTCGTGTACAACGTGTATTTATAACCTCAGCAAACTTTGTCTACAAAACCTAGAAATAGTGCCTGAACATTAGAAAGTTTAGTATCAAAATACACAGGAAAAAATATTGCATCCAACAAAGTGTGAATCTGTCTAGAAATTAATCTGTTGAAGTGAATACACCAATAAAGATTATTCAGAATTGATATATCATCCAAGTTGAAGGGAAACAAAAAGCATCGTGATGGAACAAAAACAAGACAGGCTGATAAAAGCAATTGAAGAGATAAAAACCGAGGTACATTCGATAAAAAACACGGTTGAAGAAATCAACCCGGGGAACGACTCTCTGAAAAAGAAGGTGAATGAACTCGAAGGCAAAATGAATATTATGTGTACTGTAGAGCTATTGGGGTTCTACAAATAGAAATAAAATTTTTCCAAATATGAACTCTATGACTTTATTGCCGTCTAACTGACATACATTTAACAATAAGGGAAGAGAAAATGTTCTTGAAAAAGGCTGGCAAACTCACTTCTTGCCTAAGGAGAACTTTCCACGTGCGCTTGCTACAAAATTCGATGGTGTTTGGATCTTCTCCTCGTCCGTGTCCTCCATCAAAAACCAAGAGGTGGTCCCCATCTCCAGCAGCCCTCCATCGCCCCTGAGTTTTTGTGAGAGCTTGTCCAGAAGATCTGATAAGCTGGATGTAAGCTGCTGGATAGTCCTCCCTCCGGATGATCTACCTAGTTTTTTGGAAATATTTTCAAAAAATTAATCGCTGAACCTCACATTTCTGGAGCCGCTGAAGCAGGGAAGGCTTGAGTCTTGGAAGTGGTTTCCACTTAGCATGCTGGTTTGGCAAGCACTGGTGAGTTTTGACAATAATACAATTGTGGTATCGGGCTGAATGACAGAACTTTTCCTGAGGTGTTGTGCTTTTCAAACTTGTACCCAAGATCTTCCCTCGTAAACCAGTTCCCCTGGTTAGTCATTTCCCCAAGAATACCAAGGTCTTCCTTGAAGGTGCCAAATGTGCAATGGTACATAACCTGAGCAGCCTCATCCTGGGTCCACTCCCCGTTCATGATGAAGCGATCATTCTTAAACATGTCCCATAGAAGAAATGCTCCTTTCCCAGAGAAATTCAGCATCTGTTTCTTGAGAATTTCATTTTCAGATTTTAGTTCTTCCATTTTAGTGAACTTGAAATATTTTCAATGTATATTCTATTTGTGACCACCTGACACCATGTACTGTAGAGCTATTGGGGTTCTACAAATAGAAATACAATTTTTCCAAATATGAACTCTATGACTTTATTGCCGTTCCACTGACATACATACATAACATCTTGTCAACTCGCCCAACATACAGAATGTTAAACACATCGAAAATACAACTATCAGTACACCATGTACTGTAGAGCTATTTGGGGTTCTACAAATAGAAATACAATTTTTCAAATATGAACTCTATGACTTTATTGCCGTCTAACTGACATACATTTAACAATAAGGGAAGAGAAAATGTTTTTGAAAAAGGCTGGCAAACTCACTTCTTGCCTTAGAAGAACTTTCCACGTGCGCTTGCTACAAAATTCGATGGTGTTTGGATCTTCTCCTCGTCCGTGTCCTCCATCAAAAACCAAGAGGTGGTCCCCATCTCCAGCAGCCCTCCATCGTCCCTGAGTTTTTGTGAGAGCTTGTCCAGAAGATCTGATAAGCTGGATGTAAGCTGCTGGATAGTCCTCCCTCCGGATGATCTACCTAGTTTTTTGGAAATATTTTCAAAAAATTAATCGCTGAACCTCACATTTCTGGAGCCGCTGAAGCAGGGAAGGCTTGAGTCTTGGAAGTGGTTTCCACTTAGCATGCTAGTTTGGCAAGCACTGGTGAGTTTTGACAATAATACAATTGTGGTATCGGGCTGAATGACAGAACTTTTCCTGAGGTGTTGTGCTTTTCAAACTTGTACCCAAGATCTTCCCTCGTAAACCAGTTCCCCTGGTTAGTCATTTCCCCAAGAATACCAAGGTCTTCCTTGAAGGTGCCGAATGTGCAATGGTACATAACCTGAGCAGCCTCATCCTGGGTCCACTCCCCGTTCATGATGAAGCGATCATTCTTAAACATGTCCCATAGAAGAAATGCTCCTTTCCCAGAGAAATTCAGCATCTGTTTCTTGAGAATTTCATTTTCAGATTTTAGTTCTTCCATTTTAGTGAACTTGAAATATTTTCAATGTATATTCTATTTGTGACCACCTGACACCATGTACTGTAGAGCTATTGGGGTTCTACAAATAGAAATACAATTTTTCCAAATATGAACTCTATGACTTTATTGCCGTTCCACTGACATACATACATAACATCTTGTCAACTCGCCCAACATACAGAATGTTAAACACATCGAAAATACAACTATCAGTACACCATGTACTGTAGAGCTATTTGGGGTTCTACAAATAGAAATACAATTTTTCCAAATATGAACTCTATGACTCCATTGCCGTCTAACTGACATACATTTAACAATAAGGGAAGAGAAAATGCTCTTGAAAGAGGCTGGCAAACTCACTTCTTGCCTAAGAAGAACTTTCCACGTGCGCTTGCTTCAAAATTCGATGGTGTTTGGATTTTTTCCTCGTCCGTGTCCTCCATCAAAAACCAAGAGGTGGTCCCCATCTCCATCAGCCCTCCATCGTTCCTGAGTTTCTGTAAGAGCTTGTCCAGAAGATCCGATAAGCTGGATGTAAGCTGCTGGATAGTCCTCCCTCCGGATGATCCACCTAGTTTTTTGGAAATATTTTCAAAAAATTCTTCGCTGAACCTCACATTTCTGGAGCCACTGAAGCAGGGAATGCTTGAGTCTTGGAAGTAGTTTCCACTTAGCATGCTAGTTTGGCAAGTACTGGTGAGTTTTGACTAATATAATAATAATTGTTGTATCGAACTGAATGACAGAACTTTTCCTGAGGTGTTGTGCTTTTCAAACTTGTACCCAAGATCTTCCCTCGTAAACCAGTTCCCCTGGTTAGTCATTTCCCCAAGAATACCAAGGTCTTCCTTGAAGGTGCCAAATGTGCAATGGTACATAACCTGAGCAGCCTCATCCTGGGTCCACTCCCCGTTCATGATGAAGCGATCATTCTTAAACATGTCCCATAGAAGAAATGCTCCTTTCCCAGAGAAATTCAGCATCTGTTTCTTGAGAATTTCATTTTCAGATTTTAGTTCTTCCATTTTAGTGAACTTGAAATATTTTCAATGTATATTCTATTTGTGACCACCTGACACCATGTACTGTAGAGCTATTGGGGTTCTACAAATAGAAATACAATTTTTCCAAATATGAACTCTATGACTTTATTGCCGTTCCACTGACATACATACATAACATCTTGTCAACTCGCCCAACATACAGAATGTTAAACACATCGAAAATACAACTATCAGTACACCATGTACTGTAGAGCTATTTGGGGTTCTACAAATAGAAATACAATTTTTCAAATATGAACTCTATGACTTTATTGCCGTCTAACTGACATACATTTAACAATAAGGGAAGAGAAAATGTTTTTGAAAAAGGCTGGCAAACTCACTTCTTGCCTTAGAAGAACTTTCCACGTGCGCTTGCTACAAAATTCGATGGTGTTTGGATCTTCTCCTCGTCCGTGTCCTCCATCAAAAACCAAGAGGTGGTCCCCATCTCCAGCAGCCCTCCATCGTCCCTGAGTTTTTGTGAGAGCTTGTCCAGAAGATCTGATAAGCTGGATGTAAGCTGCTGGATAGTCCTCCCTCCGGATGATCTACCTAGTTTTTTGGAAATATTTTCAAAAAATTAATCGCTGAACCTCACATTTCTGGAGCCGCTGAAGCAGGGAAGGCTTGAGTCTTGGAAGTGGTTTCCACTTAGCATGCTAGTTTGGCAAGCACTGGTGAGTTTTGACAATAATACAATTGTGGTATCGGGCTGAATGACAGAACTTTTCCTGAGGTGTTGTGCTTTTCAAACTTGTACCCAAGATCTTCCCTCGTAAACCAGTTCCCCTGGTTAGTCATTTCCCCAAGAATACCAAGGTCTTCCTTGAAGGTGCCGAATGTGCAATGGTACATAACCTGAGCAGCCTCATCCTGGGTCCACTCCCCGTTCATGATGAAGCGATCATTCTTAAACATGTCCCATAGAAGAAATGCTCCTTTCCCAGAGAAATTCAGCATCTGTTTCTTGAGAATTTCATTTTCAGATTTTAGTTCTTCCATTTTAGTGAACTTGAAATATTTTCAATGTATATTCTATTTGTGACCACCTGACACCATGTACTGTAGAGCTATTGGGGTTCTACAAATAGAAATACAATTTTTCCAAATATGAACTCTATGACTTTATTGCCGTTCCACTGACATACATACATAACATCTTGTCAACTCGCCCAACATACAGAATGTTAAACACATCGAAAATACAACTATCAGTACACCATGTACTGTAGAGCTATTTGGGGTTCTACAAATAGAAATACAATTTTTCCAAATATGAACTCTATGACTCCATTGCCGTCTAACTGACATACATTTAACAATAAGGGAAGAGAAAATGCTCTTGAAAGAGGCTGGCAAACTCACTTCTTGCCTAAGAAGAACTTTCCACGTGCGCTTGCTTCAAAATTCGATGGTGTTTGGATTTTTTCCTCGTCCGTGTCCTCCATCAAAAACCAAGAGGTGGTCCCCATCTCCATCAGCCCTCCATCGTTCCTGAGTTTCTGTAAGAGCTTGTCCAGAAGATCCGATAAGCTGGATGTAAGCTGCTGGATAGTCCTCCCTCCGGATGATCCACCTAGTTTTTTGGAAATATTTTCAAAAAATTCTTCGCTGAACCTCACATTTCTGGAGCCACTGAAGCAGGGAATGCTTGAGTCTTGGAAGTAGTTTCCACTTAGCATGCTAGTTTGGCAAGTACTGGTGAGTTTTGACCAATACAATAATAATTGTTGTATCGGGCTGAATGACACAACTTTTCCTGAGGTGTTGTGCTTTTTAAACTTGGACCCAAGATCTTCTCTCGTAAACCAGTTCCCCTTGTTAGTGATTTCCCCAAGAATACCAAGGTCTTCCTTGAAGGTGCCAAATGTGCAGTGGTACATGACCTGAGCAGCCTCATCCTGGGTCCACTCCCCGTTCATGGTGAAGCGATCATTCTTAAACATGTCCCATAGAAGAAATGCTCCTTTCCCGGAGAAATTCAGCATCTGTTTCTTGAGAATTTCATTTTCGGATTTGAGTTCTTCCATTTTAGTAAACTTGAAATATTTTCAATGTATATTCTATTCGTGGCCACCTGACACCGTACTGTAGAGCTATTGGGGTTCTACAAATAGAAATACAATTTTTCCAAATATGAACTGTATGACTTCATTGCCGTCCCACTGACATACATACATAACATCTTGTCAACTCGCCCAACATACAGAATGTTGAACAGATCGAAAATACAACTATCAGTACACCATCTACTGTAAAGCTATTTGGGGTTCTACAAATAGAAATACAATTTTTCCAAATATGAACTCTATGACTTTATTGCCGTCTAACTGACATATATTTAACAATAGGGGAAGAGAAAATGTTCTTGAAAAAGGCTGGCAAACTCACTTCTTGCCTTAGAAGAACTTTGCACTTGCGCTTGCTACAAAATTCGATGGTGTTTGGATCTTCTCCTCGTCCGTGTCCTCCATCAAAAACCAAGAGGTGGTCCCCATCTCCAGCAGCCCTCCATCGTCCCTGAGTTTCTGTAAGAGCTTGTCCAGAAGATCCGATAAGCTGGATGTAAGCTGCTGGATAGTCCTCCCTCCGGATTATCTACCTAG